TATTTAATTATTATAAATTACATAAAAACATTTAATTATTTTTTATATATGGATCACCAATGCTACGATATAAACCATTATTATATTTTGGTTAATATAATGTAAAACATTTTACAAATACCGTATTATAAATTTAATACACATTAATTGTTTTATTAATATGGTAAAATAAATAGTAAAAACATAAAATTTATTTGAATTGCTTTCTAAATACACCAAACCATGATAAATATACTACGATTGACTCGGTGACAATCCAGCAGACTAATAACTAATTGATCATAATAGTCCTTGCTACAATCGTAACAAATCAACCGCAATATCATCAAGGAAATAGCATACACTTATACATAAACAGTTATATTTTATGATTAACAAAATTGGCCAGTTTTAGATCACGTTGAATGACCGGTGGATTCAAATCGATAGACCTTAATGTTATGTTAGACAGTCATGGGTTCCGCCACTTTGTCGCCCAAATACAAACCACTCAGACTTTGTAAACATTTGACCAAATGACGAGGTAGTTATAATTAATTATTATAGCTAATTTACAATGTTCAAAATTTATATTTACCATGACAATAATTGTTATTATGTTATATAATACATATTCTGATCATTTGTAACGCATATTATAATCAAAACCCATAGGTTCGCCGTGCGTTCAATTAAGGGCCACGTTATCAGCATTTTTGTAATCATGATTTAATCGATGTATTAAACAATTATTTTTACACAATTCATTTATAATAAATATTTTATAATAAGCTTTTTAAATAATTTTAACAGTAAAATGTTATGAGTATTAATAAATAACCATCTAATGATGGAGCTGATTATTATCCGAGTCTACTGCGTTAAATTGCAATATTATTGTCATATCATTTATAATATAAAATTTATATTATAAATCGTAATAAAATAATATTGTTGTGTTACATAAAAATAGTAAACAATTAGTGATTTCACTTGGTGTTAACCAACTTATATATTTATAGTTATATTATTTTGTCACCAATTAATTAATAAATTGTTGTACAGTTTAATATAAAATATACATTTTTAATATTAAAATTTGCCATTATAAAGTTTACATCAAAACGTACATGTTTGCCTTTACATCAAAATGTACAAACATAAAGTTACATAACTTTTATCATTCAAATATTATTTGAATAATATTTTTATATTAAAAATATACTAAATATATGTTTAGTACAATAGAACCCAAGTCATGTTTATTTATAACATAATGTATTATTTAAAAATCAATTTAATAATTAGTATACAGCTTTAATATTAATCACGAGTATAAATTACATGGGATATTACAAAATTATCACTTTAAATATACAATTTGTTATACATGTTAATAAATGTGTTAATAAAATGCAAATTATAAATAATAAAAATATTCAAATTAAAACAAATATTTGCCAATAAAATAACAGCAAAAATTATACGATACAAATGACATACAAAACAAAAACACAATTAAACAAACATATCATACAAACCCATCATTTATAAACTGTAATGAAAACATTTTGTAATTAAAAATTACCTAAAAGTATTAAAATATTTATTATATATGGTTTATTAAAGACCGATCTTTTTGTTAATTTTTGTCGCATATTATAATACACATAAATTAGTTCATTATTAGTATTGGAATATGTATTTAAACAGATAAACTCAATAAATACTACAAGCCAGTCCCCGGTGGGTGAGTGGATATAGCATCCGCTCACGAGGAGGATTGCACGAGTTCGAGTCTCACTGGCGGACCCAAGAACTTTCCTCTTTCAAAGGCCTCTGTTGCCACTGGGAGGTGGTTGACTGCCTGCGAACACCCGGGTAGAAATCCACAGTCTGGCCTTGCACTATACCAGACGTGAGGCCCCCTAGAAAACAAGTGTATATTAGGGGTCACGCAAAAAGGGGAAAAAAAATAAATAAATAAATACTACAATTGACCAGGCAACAATTAAGCAGTATGATAACTCATAAATAAAAATAGTCCATGCTGCAATCGTATAAACTGATATTAATGTATTTTGCGTTTATAATTACTGTTTATACAAAAGTATACAGCTCGTTTATAATTGGGAAATGTATCAGTGTTTAATAGTGATAGAAATAATTATTATCTATCTCCAATTTATTATTTTGAACATTTTGTAAATCCTTGGCTAATATTGTATGTTATTTATAATTATAAATTATATAACAATTACTAAATGATTATAATTATTAAATTATTACTACATTATAAATGCAATACAATTGTCAAAATAGTTTACATAAATAGCGGCAAAATTTTACAATATCCACAAAGTTATTATGACACATAATTTGTTAACATTACATTTATGGGAAAATTATCTCATAATCTTCCATTTTAAAAAACACACCCCTTTCCGACCCACAGTCGGTAGCCTGGGATAGTGAGCTAAGTAAATGTAAAACAATTACAAACACTTGCAATATACAAATTTTATTTAGCTCATTTCAATTGGGAGATATTCAATAACCCAAAACTAACGATTTATTGAGTGACCTGGTAACAAAAAAAATGTTCAAAACTGTAGATATATCATGTTCAGAATATTTTATTAGACACAATTAATCGTTAACAGTCTATTGGCATTATAGGCGAAAGCAGTTTATTTTAATTTAATCATATAAAATTATTGTGTATTAAGTGATAAGTGCCTAACTTGTGAGTGACTCACAAGCCAATAGTCATTCAGAATTAGTTATGATTCAAATATGATTGGCACATTTGAAAATTTAAGCCAGTTCATTTGTTGACCGTATAATTTACCAATCCGGGCAGTCTTCCTCTATATGAAGGGACTCTCATTACTTGACACAATCTTTTTGTTCATAAATGAATGATTATTATTTTATTATATTTAAAGATCGGTAATTAATTAGTTTGCTATTATTGTAATTGCAAACAATATTACTATAAATGAACTAAAATAAAAACGTTTTCATTACAAATAACGTACAAAAATGACAGATATTATTATTTTTACAATAACTTTTTTCAATTACGTCATAATTAAAAAATTCTTTTAGATATTACTTCCTCTCATCCATACCTTTCTATTAATATATAATATAATATACTTATTCATAAAATACAAAATTTGATAAAAAGAATTCTATAAACCACATAATTTATACCGAATTGTGGTTAAATATTCAGCATTAATATAGTGCGCTATGTATTACTAAAGTATTATTATTATTATTAATTTAGATTATAATGAAATTTACTATTAATTTTATAATTAACAAATTTTAGCCATTTTGAATAGTTTAACTGCTTTAATATGGGTACTGCTTTCCTTATCGCAAAACTAAATTTATGGCTATACCTTAATATGGGTAATACATTAACCCCTTATTTCAGGCAAAATGATGCTTTGTTTATTAAGTAATAATTAATTACTACTAATTTCTAATGATTTCATAGGATAACTATCAAAATGTATGATAATATATCAGTAATTTAAAAAAATATCATGAAAACAGACAATATAGCTTTAAGTACAAATGATATTTTTGATAAAATTTTTTAAAATTGCAGAAAATTAAATTTAAAATTTTCAAAACAGCAATTTATGAGCACTCTACTCTTTTGGGATCATGCATATATAGTTTCATGTAAATTTTGAAAAATAACATGGTTATCTATTTTTTTAATTTTCAACATTATATCTTATTGGAAAACATAATGTCAAAATTTTGGTGTTCATTAATTAGGGTGAAACTGTATGGTCCATACAAGCAAACCTAATTAATGGCTCGGTCGCTATGAGTTAATAGTGCAATTATTATAGACTGTACTTTTAACATCTTAATATACTAATATTACACAAAATTATTTTGTCTATTTAAAAATTGGATACTATTAAAATGTTATTTACATTTGGTATATTAATTAATTATGCACTAACCAATATGTTTTATTTATTGTTTTGAATTCACAATCAGATTTAATTTAAAATAATTTATTCGAATAAACATTTTATATAACAACGAGTAAATTATTTCAAGTTGACAATTGTGCTACATTAAAAAAATGTTAATAATTATAAAATCATTAAGTTTAGAGAGAGAGAGAGAGAGAGAGAGAATTTTATTTTATTAGACAAATAATTTTATGATTTATTGGTTTACAATTCTTCAACTATTATTAGCAAATTTTTTATTATTATTTTATGATTGTTTATTGCTAAATTCATTCATTAAATTAAATTACGTACTAGTTTACATTTCTTGGCAACTTTTCGTGTATTATATAAAAATTATAATAAAACTGTAGATTTGGCAACATTTTAATATTATATTAAACTAAATAAATAATTATATATAGTCTTGGTGGCGCATACTCGTAATTAATTTAATTATAATCAAATAGATATGTTTTAAATATAATTGCATAAAATATAACCTGTGCTGCAATTATATTTTATGTCGCATTCAATTATTCTAGAACCATTATGAATAAACTTTATAAATTATAATGTTAAAAAAAACTGTAATTGTTGCTGTATTTGTTGTAATGAAAATGCATACAATTTAGACAAATTGCTAGTTCATATTTGATAATGGATTTTTAGCAGTGTTTGATTACAGCACTATTATTATTAAATTTTTTATTTTAATAATAAAGTGTGATAGTAAATGGTTAAGTAAATAGAATGTTGGTAAAATTGCTATAATCAAAATATTGAAAAAAAACAATAATTATAATGTTGTAATTATTGTTAAATTATTGAGAATTAATTGAAATTCTTGTTTAAAGTTAAATATAAATTATTAATTTTAAAAAATTATATACAATTTTTCAACACTTTAATCTTTTATTTAAACATTATGTGTAAGAAGAAAGCCAATTTTATATACTTGAGTAATTACTTCTATGTAATTAAATTACTAATGAAAACTCGTTACAGTTTTTATAATAAACATTTGTTATATTTTTAGTTAAATTAAAGTTAAATAATTTTTCAATTGTCATTATCATGACATACAAATGTAATTAAGAAACCGACAATTCAGCAATCGGCTGATTATTTAATTATTGCCATTAATTGAACAGTATTTAAAAGTATTATTATTAAAATGAATTAAAATAAATTATTACCAACAGGTTAGCACTTCCCAATTTACCTTTTTGTATTTGCGATATACAGTATATGTAATTAAATCATTAATAAAAAATTAGTTACAGTTTATATAAGAAAAATTCAACTTAATTTATTATATATTAAAATACAAGTAACAAGGTACAGCATGGATGTAAAAATAAATTTAGATCAATTAATTAATGTATAAAATATATAATTTGATAATTTTAAAAATTACTTTTATTTACAAATACTAAATAGTTTGACATATAAATAATCATGATACAAAAAATGGGATTCAAAATGTTGTATTACGCACAACACAGTATTACGCCATATTTAACACGGTTATTATATTTATTTCACTCGTGCTCTATATTTTAAAGCATAATATGCCAAAATGCGCAGGGTGACAGTATAGACAAGCAACAAGCTTAAAAACATCCAGAGATCCGAATCCTTGAGAGCGAACCACTCGAGCATTTTGGACGGATTTTCTGCGGCAATCATACGGTTAACAGATCTGAGAGTATTGTGCGTAACATTGGTCAGTGAGTCGGACTCAGACAGGCATTCATTCAATTGATTCATATTTAGCCCAAACTCTGCGCCAAACCTATCCATTGTTATCGGGGGTAAAACACCGGACGGACAGCGGTTGAAGCCGTACAGTATTATTAGCATACCTTCATATGACAACCTATGGATTAGTGTGTGGGTATGAATAAAATAGTTTAATATATTTAATTCAATATTATATTATTTGTCAAATTATTTCAACCCTTGTATTTAAACTCAAACTCAAATTCAAACCTGAATTCAAACTTAAACTAAAACTAAATCAAAACTTTATTTTCCAAACATTGTTCAAACTCTTACCTAAAAATTGATAAATAGGAGAAAGTCTGCAAATATGAAGGCATTGTCCGAATAGGTATGAGTGCACCGCTGAACAGTAGAAACGGTGCTATAAATATGGTGAACGATAGCAAACTGGCCCGGATGTTATTGATGAAAAATGATGATAACAGTAGACCCATACTGTGCGACACGAGTGCCACCATTACCATGACCAACATCATTAATGAGAATCTCCATACGTCCCACTCCTGGTTTGTCATCCACCACATTATGGTCGCGTATACCATAGGTATGCCCACCACTACCGGTACGTCAACCACCGACCGGGCCATGAAATACGACCACGTTGTGTACCATTTATTGAAATGTTCCTATTGAATAACGTAATCATTTGAGAAATATGAAAGTAAACTGATTAACAATTGTTAAATATAATGATTTACTTAATATGATTTGAATAAAATCTAATTTGTTACTTATAAGATTTTTCAAGATGGTTAATTGAGTTTTTTAAAATTATATTTACTAAATTATTATAAATATCTTATATTTTATTTTAAACAATTACAATTATTTTCTAAATATGTACAATAATAATTAATCATTAAGTTATTCAAAAATATGAGTCTTGTTATAATTAAATAGAAAATGTTAAACAAAAAATTTATTTTACAGTCGTTTATATTTTACTGTATCTCAAAATTAATTAATTACGATGCAATGATAATTATATAAACCAACCTTCATGAAAGTATTCAATTCCAAAGGAAATGTCATCAATGTGGGCGCAATAGTAACAAAATGAATGAACATTGTAGTCGACAATATATATGACACATTCTGTATATTCTTGAAAGTTCTTTGCATTGTATTCTCCTTCACCACAACTGATCGCATCTTCGCAAACACTGAGTCTATGTCAGCGCACCCGCCGTCCGACGACTTGCCCGCCCGGGCCTGAGAGTAGACCATGAATTTGGTGGCCAGTGATATGGCCAGAGCCAGCACTCGTAGCCATACGACCAATGGATTGCGTACAGACACTCGATGGGCACGTTTTACTAATATCCATAAGTCTCGCCATTGTTCACCCGCTGTGCGCTTACGTTCGCAATGTTGGCCTAAGTTTTTTCCTAAAACCCGCCCTCCGATCGACTCGTGTCCGCACATTTGCATTTTGTCCAGTTTTTCGGTCAACCTTTCGCTCTCATATTCGGCCAACGAATCGATAGCCTGTGTTTTGAAATAATTTAATTTGTCATAAGTTTGATCTAGTTAAAGTACCCTACTTAATTAAAATTGAGCTGGTTAATAATGATATTTTAATGATACATACTTGGGATCCGTGTCCGCCACTGGATATCTCTATGACATAGTCGGCCGGATTGTGATATACCTTTTATAATAAATTATTTTGTTTATATTTATAAATATAAATACAAATGTATTGAAGGTTTTGAGACTACTTTGATTTAAGAATGAATTAAATAATCATAAGTAGATGTTGCAGCATATTTAACGAATTAGAATTAAGATTGAATCTTTTGCCAAATTACAATTAACTTTAGAATCATAAATTAATAAATTAAATACTCAATTTAACGTTACAGTTAGTAACATTCTCTCTCTCTCTCTCTCTCGCATACAATCAAAATATAAATAAACAGATTAAGATAAAAATATTAAAGTATATTTAATTATAGATTATGTGCGCTTCAGGTACCAATTTATAATGATCCTGACACATTAATATATGCACACATATCTGTTTATCTCTAGGATTACAGTTTATAACTCTAATTACCGGACAGTGAAAGCCAAACGACGACAAGTGGGCAATGAGTCGGTCTGTGGGCCCGCTATAAACACACCGGCCGTCCACTGAAAGCACGTAAATGTGATCAAAAAAGGCCAGCAATCGGGCCGTCGGCTGATGTATAGACGCGGCGATTACTAGCGGTTCCCTATTGTAGGACAGGGTCTTCAACAATGACAGGCACTGATAGGACGACACGGAGTCCAACCCTGTGGTCGGTTCGTCCAATAGTAACACATTAGGCGAGAATATCAGCTCCAATGCGATGGACAGCCGTTTCTTCTGCCCACCACTGATGGCACCGGTGGTCACCCGTCGACAGCCCATCAGACCAAACACCTCTAGCATATTGCGTACGTTTACGGTATGGGACGGGTGTTTGGCTGAGGTTAGCGGCTGTTTGATTGGGTCGAGTTGTTTGGCACCGGTATGTCGGGTGCCGTTATGTTGTGACATACGGTAGTGTTCGTGGTTTTCATCGAAAAAGTCATAACGTTTTGATTGTTTTGTTTTTAATTCAGACGCGTATTTGAGGGCCTCCTCTACCGTCAGGTCAGTCAACAGTGCGTCCGACTGTCCGTTGTATGCGATCCGCAATTTTACCTTTCTGTAAATATTTTATAAAATTATTATCATGTGCTAACTTGAGTGTTAATTGTGTTGGTGTTTTTTATTTGCAATTAATTTTTATATTTTATGTAATATATGATATTTTATTAGAAACTGTTACTATTTTTAACTGTTTAATTAATAACTTAATTGTAAATTGATAAAGTTTTACATTGGACGAATGTTACGAGTGTCATTTTAGCATAATTACAGTGAGTATTTACCAAAATTATTTGTGTAAAATATGGTGGCTCAATTAGTTTTCATTTAATATGAACAGGTTTACTTTACTAGAAACTGTAACTATTTTGTATTATTTATTTTGCAATATAATTTGTTGAGTAGAATGTTTTATATTGGCTGAGAAAAGCCGCTACTATTTTTAATAATAATAAAATTAATGTAATATATAAGATTTTATTAGAAACTGTTACTATTTATTATTGTTTAATTAATTACTTGATTATAAAATGGTAAAGTTTTACATTGGAATTTAAATAGACATTATTGTATTCAAGTGTCATTTTAGCATAATTACTTGAATTTTTACTAAAATTGTTTGTGTAATATATGTTTCCACAATTCATTTTTATTTTTGAACATACCTACTTTATTAGAAACTGTAGCTATTTTTAATTATTTAGTTAGCAACATAATTTATTTAGTAGAATGTTTTATATTGGGGCGTGGGATATGTCAGCACTATTTTTAATAATAATTAACTAAATCCTTTTTAGTTGTTACATTTTAATTAATTTATTATCGTGTTGTTTATTTTAAGTAATTTTTAGTAAACTATCTAGGGTGTGTTTTAGTTTGCACAAGATTTTGTGGTACTATATTTGATATTAATACAATGTACTTCCAAAAAACTGTACACCTAGCACATAAAAACATCAATTAACGTGTAACACATTATTAAAACCACCATGTATATGTTTAGAAACATTAGTATTTATATTATAATTCTATGGAAAATACTGTGTTTCAAGCATATATTTTATTAAAATTAATATGCAACATGTAAAACTACTTAAGTAACTTTAAACTATGCGCTTTTTAATATAATTAAGGTTAATATAATGCTGTCATTCAAAGTGAAACTACTTCTCAAAGTAATTATTTTAAATATTAAGGAAAGTTTCGCTCAAAAAAGTGAAATACAATTTTCATTGAAATGTTTTAAACTATTTATTTGAGGAAATAATGCAAAATAATTATAACAAATTATAATATAACTTAGATTTTCCTTGGTCAAACTCAATATTTACATACTGAATTTATAGTTTACTGAATTGTTAAAATTTTGAATACTTTTAGAAATAAAAGGTGTGTATTATAAATAGAGTTGACTGTATTAATAGGTATTTTAAATGTTAAATATATAATTTATTTTGACGATTGATTGTGAAAACTAAAATCCCATAAAACCTATCGATCAATTGGTAAATAATTAAATAGTAATTATTTTTAACGACAGAGAGAGAGAGAGAGAGAGAGAGGGAGAGAGAGAGAGAAGGTCAGACATCAGTTGTTATACAATAATATTTTAACAAAAACAATACATTGATAGTGAGAGTGAGAGCGAGAGAGCACAGGGAGGCAAATGGGAGGTACGAGTGCGAGAGAGAGAGAGAGAGAGAGAATGAAAAGGAAAGTGCAATAAATATATTTATAATTTACTTTTGCAATAATAATATTTAATATTCAAAGTAACTTAAAGTGAATGCAATCATTCATTTGCTAAACACATGTCTGCCTATCATTACACACAACACTCGTATATATGATGTAATAAATTGTATCTAATGCTAGGGATTATGGGGTTTATATTTAGTTCACATTAAACACATATACTTGTATATAACCTACCTGTCCTAACCACAGTAAATATACTACATTGTGCATAATATACAAGTCATGACACAGGTATGTATGGCAACCATACTATGAGTTTAGGGAAAAGTTTGCGTTAAACAAAAACACTGGTTTTGCATTACAACACACATATCAACACAAAATTTAATAGCAAACTAGCAAAGTAAATATGACACTTGTTTACACACATTAAATATATTAAAATTACCATCAGGATTAAAAACATTTAAACAAAAACAACACTCACTTCTCGTTGGCACTTTTAACCCACACCCGACCGGTGAGTCCGGCCACCCGTCGACCGGCCAGACACTCGATTAGGGTAGTCTTGCCGGACCCGCTCGGGCCCAATATGCCGGCCAATCGGCCGCTACTGATCTCGCCGTTCAAATCGCTGACAATTATCTTACCATCAGTTTTACGTCTGGAAATTAACCCCTGATTACCACTGGCTCTGTATGTCAAGCGATTCCAGTAGAGGGTTAGCCGATCGTCATTATTATTATCGGGAGTGGACTGTAGGCAACTCGTGTCGACATCGATGGTGTCCGAGTGGGCGACCATCGCCTTGATATTTATCGGATGTAATTTAGTTTCAATATAAATTAATATTTAACAATAAGTTATATTTTGGTATTTATTTTGCACACAATTATTATATATTTTTCATTGAATTTAGTCAGACATCAGTTGTTATACAATAATATTTTAACAAAAACAATACATTGATAGTGAGAGTGAGAGCGAGAGAGCACAGGGAGGCAAATGGGAGGTACGAGTGCGAGAGTATGTCAGTACTACTATTGCCATTAATTAAATATTACACAAACTATGTAGATGTCTGGGCTGTATATGTATGTTAATAATACTTGAAATACCGGTTCACTTGTATATTACTTTCACATATTCTGCTTTTGCTTTTATAATTATTATTACATTTTGATATATTTTGTTTGAAATGAAATCACATAATAATTATTGACAGGTTTTTCATTTCATATGAATTTAATGTGTTTTTTGAAAACAATATTATTGTTTTTGTTAAACATGTTATCGATTGAAGTTTTTTCTGATCAATAGTTATATTATATAACTTATATAGACTATTGTTGTTATATCTATGGTATAGGAGGCGCCCCCTTATGTCGCAATATATTATGTTTTTTTTGTTACAAAATTTAAATTAATTTATAATAAAATGTTTAAATAATTTAGTTGTCATTTTAAGTTATAATATTTATAATTTATGGTTATTTTTAAGCTTTGATTTTATAATAAGGGAATTAATATTTACATAAAAATGTATAAGGAAATACATATAAACTTTAATTTACTAATTGCTACATCATGATAAGCCTATTTAATTAATATGATTACTAATTAATATAATGTTATTAATCCCTTATGGTATTTTTATGATAGGTTATCATTAATAGGTTAGAAAGTACTATAAAATTCTAATCATTTTAATATTAAAAGTACATTTATAATTATTTGCTGTACGCGTTTTATAAATAACATCTTGGTATATTAGTGTACATGGTAATTATAACATTTTGTAGTAATTTATAGCATTGGTAAAATAAATGCCAATGCAAATAATTTAAAAAACATACTGAATATTTTACAATGTTTAAATAAAATAAACTTATTTACTTATTAACATATTTTAATATACTAAATGTTAACATTGAATTGATTACTGTCAATCGATATATGTTAATAATTTAACTTAAACTTTATCTAGACAAAATGTCAATCATTGTTATATCTAGATGGGTCTGTATTCATTATATTATATTGTGTTGATTTGTATTTTTTATACACATCTGTGTAAATATAAATTATTTATATAACATGCATAATAATTATTTTTTATTCTTTTAAACTGTTAACATTTATGTCACTTTTGTTGACAACCAGGTAAATAAACTAAATGTTTTATGCCATCAGGTAAATTATCAGGCGTTGACAACAGGCGCAATGTTATTTGTTGTATTGTAATTTTATCATACTGTGTATTATTTTTAGCTTTATACAATAAATATTATTATTTAAATTATGTTTGAATTTTGTATTTTATTTATATATTATATTGATTTATAGATTGGGTTATATTAAACAAATTGAATGTTTGCCAAATGAAACTAACTAGTTATTTGTTGTTACTTTTACAGTGTAAAATTTACATCTACATACCCCACCCCCTCTACACCCCTGTACTTCAATGTATTAAATGTACATAAAATACTAGTTTGTAAAATATTGTATTTAAAATATATATAATTACATAACAATTAAATGTCAATTGGATTTTGAAATACATGGAAATGATTCATACATTTATCAATATCTCTATAGTTATTATAATATAAGTATTTGTTATATAAATGGGAAACACATTATCAATACTAAAAACATGTATTTTATATTTTTACCTTTTTATTATTGTCGCTGTTACTGCATTCATAAATTATAATACAATTAATGCATGCAATCATGCTGGTTTATAATGTATTTTACCTGGAAATGGCAATAATAACAATAAAATGATTGCAAAACAATAAGATGAAATATGTTTTATAATAATATAATGGAAATTTCAATACACTATTTATAATAAAAATAAATTTTAATCATGTAGATTATTTATAAATATGAAAAATATGTATTTTGGCAACATAAACATTTTACACTTATGCTTTTGGTTATTTTTTATTTAGGTATTAGAATGATAATAATTTATTATTAATAAATAAATAAATGTAGTGCTGGACAGTTGTCAGAATTAATTTACTATAATAGAATTTATTAAATAATTATGTAAACACTATAAAATGTTGCTATATTAGTTATAATAATTAATAATAATAATAATAATTAATTAACTGTGCCTCACCTAAGTTACAGTATTTCAGGTAAATTTTCCAGCATCTTAAAATATACTAGATTAATTGTATAATTATAAAACATTCTTTTACATTCAGTTTATAAAGTTTTTAAGTTTAACAATTTATCGTGTTGCTAATTTATAAAACTGTAAATTATTTACCAAATGCACAATAAATGTATGATTTTAAGTATAATTTATAATTAATTGGGAGTCTATTGACGACGTCATTAATTATGTCATTTAAGTTATTTACACTTACAAGTACTGTATGTTATATTTATTAAATTGTGAATATTTACATGTACTTTAAAAAACTAAATGACAAAATTTTTTATTTAAACATTTTAGAGAGAGAGAGAGAGAGAGAGAGAGAGAGACTCAATGTAATCAATTAAGTCACTAAATATATTATGATTCATTAATATT